AATAAATTTACTAGGTATTTTAGTTGATATTACTAATTAAATTGAAACTTGAAATAATTTTTAAAAATATATGTCAAAATTGAGATTATTACAAGTTACCTAATAAATTCTACTATTTCTACGACAAATTCAGTCATTTACAGTCGAAAATTGTAGTTTTCGCTTTATCATAAAAATTTAGTTTTCTTTGTGTATAGATATATGTCTACTAGATAAATCCAATAAAAATAATTATTTTACCGAACTTTATGAGTATTTAATAAAATTAATGTAACGGNAATTTTGTACAGACATTGCTAGGGGTTCAGAAAAGGACATAGGGTACCTTTTGTCCATAAAACAAATACTGTTCCCAAAGGAATATAAAAATTAGTTTTATGTGATCGTCGATGATATTTGACACGTATCTAGGACACGCGAGCGAAGCCGCAACTAAAAACTTATCATGAAATTTTGTACAGACATTGCTAGGGGTTCAGAAAAGGACATAGGGTACCTTTTGTCCATAAAACAAATACTGTTCCCAAAGGAATATAAAAATTAGTTTAATATGATCGTCGATGATATTTGACACGTATCTAGGATATCAACGCGAGCGAAGCCGCCACTAAAACTTATCATGAAATTTTGTACAGACATTGCTAGGGGTTCAGAAAAGGACATAGGATACCTTTTGTCCATAAAAAAATAGTGTTCCCAGAGGAATATAAAAATTAGTTTTATGTGATCGTCGATGATATTTGACATGTATCTAGGATATCAACACGAGCGAAGGCGCAACTAAAACTTATCATGAAATTTTGTACAGACATTGCTAGGGGTTCAGAAAAGGACATAGGGTACCTTTTATCCATAAAAAAATAGTGTTCCCAAAGGAATATAAAAATTAGTTTTATGTGATCATCGATGATGTTTGACACGTATCTAGGATATCAACGCGAGCGAAGCCGCAACTAAAACTTATCATGAAATTTTGTACAGACATTGCTAGGGGTTCAGAAAAGGATATAGGGTACCTTTTGTCCATAAAACAAATACTGTTCCCAAAGGAATATAAAAATTAGTTTTATGTGATCGTCGATGATATTTGACACGTATCTAGGACACGCGAGCGAAGCCGCAACTAAAAACTTATCATGAAATTTTGTACAGACATTGCTAGGGGTTCAGAAAAGGACATAGGGTACCTTTTGTCCATAAAACAAATACTGTTCCCAAAGGAATATAAAAATTAGTTTTATATGATCGTCGATGATCATTGACAAGTGTTTAGGACTACAACATTCCACACATTAAACAAAAAGCCGATAAATAAATGCTTAATTTCTATGTTCAGTCAACGTTCTGCTCTGCCTGTATAGATGTTTATGTTTTAGCAAAAGTGTTAAATCAGAAACTTTAAAAACATGTAAATACATCGGCAACTTTGTCAGTCAGTCGGTGAGTCCATACTAAACAGCTGTGTATGCAAATTAAATTAAAGAGTAGGTTCATTTGAAATATAAAAATTAAACTTACTTTGAGAAATCCGTATGATCTGGCCAAAAAAGTTTTAGTAAAGTTTGTTAACAACCACAACATGTCGAAGACAAGTGAAAGAGAATAGTAAAAGGTATGCGTGGTCACGGGGTGGTGATATCACAGAGTAAATTGTCGCATTATGTTATTACGGACCAGTGAATTTCACAATGAGCCTGTTACATTGTATTTATTATTGTTAAACGAATAAGGACGGTTACGGTAGGGTACACACATGGATGCAAGTGTATGTTATAAATGCGATAGAATCCAAATCAAAAACCACCTTTATTACTATAATATAGTACTATTTATCGTTCGATACTACACCATAATTGTACTTAATGGTTAACTATTCAAACCTTATAAAGGATGGAAAGTTTTATTGCTTCATATTGAAGAATATTTTCAGATTATTTATCTATCGTATGTATCTGTCTTTCGAAAATGTATAATTTGATGAATGTGTAAAACGTATTCTTTCAACTATACAATTATCTGAAAATATCACCCCTTTTTCTGAAATCTGCTCTAAACTAACCGAACTTGTCAGTCTTTTGACTACCATAAACTTCATTCCTGTTTTCTATGTTTGTATCTCATCCCTATGAGTTTAATAAATCCAATTTAAGTTCATTAATTTAGATACAGATGTGGTAAAAAGTTAATCGAAACATAGAAATTACACACTTCTTACATTGTTATCTTTATGATCTTTTTGCTATATAAGCATATTCTACTACGACATACGTACAGACAGGTATAATCCTGAATTGACAGAAGGTTTTCGCCCTTTAATGATTGCGAAGCTTAATTTTTATTACTTATCCAATGCCAGGAGACGAAAGATTATAAGAAGTGGTTGATTTTGGGTGTCTAGGAAGTCAGATAAGTCAGAACGGAAGGAGTAGTAGGGATATAAAGCAGAGGATAACGCAGGACGATTAATTTAGAAAATCGAAAAAGACTGTTAAATGTGTATGTTTGGAGCGTGGCGCTGTACGGGTGCAAAACATTGACGGTAAGCGCGGCGGAAAAGAAAAGATTAGAAGCGTTCGAAATGTGGTGTTATAGGCGAATGATGAGGATAGCGTAGATAGAGAGGGTTACAAATGAAGAAGTATTAGAAAGAATAGGAGAACAAGGGACTCTATGGAAATCAATAAAAAATAGGCGAGATAGGTTGGTAGGACACCTCAGGCATGAAAGTATGAAAGTCTAGTCAGAGACATATTAGAAGCAGAAACGGGAGTTAAGAGGAGTAGAGATAGGCCTAGATTAGATTACTGTTACTGCAAATAGTTAAGGATGTAGAATGTTCTAGTCTTAAGGAAATGCGAAGATTAGCTCAGGATCGGAAGGAGTGGAGGTGCGTGTCCAACCAGTTTTAGGACTGACAACCTTAAGATGATTATGATCCAGTGCTGTAGTTTTTTATTATGATGACCATCTACAGTAGTTTTTTTGAAGTCTGTGTTTATGAAAAAGACCACTTTGTTAAGTGTTCAAATTAAAATCAAAGCAAGTCAGTATAACGTTAGTAAACGGTCACAACCTTGGGACGTTTGAAATTTGTACAGGATGTAGAATATGCCAAATGTCACTCTTCATTTTCAAAGTTATGTGTTTGTTACTAACCATGTTTTTTTTTATTGTCATCATGTATTACATAGTAACAATAGCATTTTAGATGCAGATATTCAATTGTTCATTATGAACAAAAAGTGACCAGCGGTAGTAAAATCAGAAGCCTGAATATCGAAGGTAAATATTTAGACAATAATTTAATAATTGTTGTTGTTATTTCTATTTGTAATAAATTTACTGTGTTTTTCTTCTTTTACTCTCTCAACTCCTGTATCTGCTTCTAATACGTCTTTAACTACCTCTTCGTGCCTCAAAATATTTCATACCTTCTAATCTCTTACAAAAAGGACAAGATTTCGTTTAGTTACTTATAAAAGCAACGAAAACTTGTCTTTCTAGATATCGAAAAGTTTTTCGTCCGCAGCATTTAGTTATAAAAAAACTGTTTGGAAAAGGGTACCAAATAAATAAAAATGGGGCGAAGGTAGCTTGTGCTGGAGTAATCTGTAATGAACAGACTGTACCCATTTATATACAGATAAGGAAAAGTTTTCCAAAATTTTTTTTTATGAATAAACTTGGTGAATACATTTTTTTTTAACCACGACTATCTAAAAATACCTTCTGAAATTATCCTAAGCTAGCAGAACTCTCAAAATCTTTTGAATAATGCGTACCCTTAAAGCCTTAAAGTGGATTTATTGTTTACTGGACTAACATTTCTTTATTACTAATATGACAACAATTATTAAATAATTTATTCAATAGCCACGCACATGTTCTTAAGGATCAAACAAATTACAACAGTTTAATTACTATTTAATCATCTTTCCTACTATAATCAAATTGTTAGTACAAATTAACGTATTTACGCAAAATAATTGTTAACGTCTTTACCATTTACAAAATAATCCGGTTTTACTGCAATATTTTGTTTGTGGTACCAAACGGCAGGCAACAGTAAAACGTCGAAATAATTTTTTTTATTTTTAATTATTTTGACTAAACAATTGTAAAGAATTGGGCGATTTAAATGATTAAATTTGGATGTACAGTTGTTGTATATACATAATACATTCCACTGCCGTATAATAACCATTGTTCAATGTCCAAATTTGACCCATTAAATACTAATGTACAATACTGAGTATTCTAAATTAATAAAGTTATCACCTACATTGACGTCTGCAAAAGTACGCACAACTGCTCGTTATCTTTTGAAGATAAAATTAAGAAAAAAATCAGACAGATTAACAACACAATTAAATATTATACCCAATAGATCCATCAGGTGCCGCTACTGGTTTAATATCTGTTGTCTCTTTTATAACAATAACAAAATATGCTTTGAAATCTGTTTTTAATAAAATCTGCTAGAGCCATTACGAAATTTCCAAACAAACGCTAATGCCCTGTAGTATTGATAAAAATAGTTGGGTCACTCCTTCTGTGAGGCAGTTTCATCTTTAATAACAGAACGTGTGTTGATAATATTTATCAAACGGATCACGTTTTTGCTTGATAAAAATGAACCCTGATAGCTTTTCGTACAATGTTCAACAATTATGTTATTTATAACGTAGAGGTGACTGAGAATCTCATGAACTCTCTTAACTTAATTGCGTCTCTCGGGCATGTGAAAGCCCATAAGATTTTAAACTGACTATACCCATGACGTAGTTCCACCGAAAGACTACTTCGACATGAAGTTTTAATTAATCATCACCTATCAGGATCAATTAAACTCATTATAAAATTGAAATGCAATAAAAAGCAACAACCACTTTTCATTTTATTTATTAAAAATATGTATGTAACACTGAGATCGTTTACCATAACAATGACTAGGAAGAATACTTAACAATGTTGTATAAATATTACATCTTTGGCTTTTTACAAATTCATTCACAATGAAATTTCGATTTATTCTCGTTGCGCATATTTTCATCTTCTTTTTACTAATTTACAGTATGTACATTGGGCATAAAAATCGATATTATCATCACAAGACTTTAACTAATCAAGAATTGATTTCGAAAGGTCGAAATGTCAACCTTTTATATAAATTTAGAATTTTTGGTGTAAGTAAGTACATTCATATTAATAAATAATTAATTGAAACATCTCGTTGTACTTTACATTATGACACACAAATGTTCTCACAATCCTTAAAACCTTTTAAATAAAGATCACGTGATTACCATGGTCCCGTTATTTCCATGCACTCGCATATGCCTATTTAGGTTTCCACTTTGCGAGAATCGCAACAGGCACAGTTTACATTCGTACGGCTTCTCGCCGCTGTGGATGCGCAGATGTTTCGTGAGCGTGCTGCTGTCCGAGAAGGCCTTCTTGCACAAGCGACAGCGATACGGCCGCTCGCCGCTGTGTGTGCGCATGTGCGTCGTGACTGAGCTGGACTGCGAGAAGCGCCGGTCGCACACCGGGCAGCGAAACGGCTTCTCGCCGCTGTGGGTGCGCACGTGCGCGGTGAGATTCGCCGCCTGCGAGAAGGACTTGTTGCAGTCGATGCAGCGGTACGGTTTCTCGCCGGAATGAGTGCGCAGATGCGTTTTGAGTGTGCTAGGACGAGCGTAACTCTTTCCTGAACAATTTTAAATTGACTCAACTTAAACGGAATAAAAGGATAAAAAGGAAGCTTACCGCATATTCGACAAACGTTCGGCTTTTGGTTTTCTTCCTCAAAATGTACAGGTAAACTGTGGTGGTGCTTCCTTCGAGGAGGTGATAGTGACATGACTGGTTTGTAGGCCGCTGAGAATACCGCAGAAGGTGGTTCTTGGTGCTGAGGAGGCCTAAAATCAGCTGTGAACGAATATGTGGCACTACCATAACCCGGCGATAACAGTCCTTGGGTCGATGGCGAAAACTGAGGACCTGAATTCCACTGGACCTAAAACGTAAATTTCAATTACCGTTTTTTTTTATTATCCATTGATATTTATACATACCTGAGGATATGTAATTTCCGTGGTGGTAGGGTAAGCAGCCGCTGCGGGATGATACCCATGCATGGTCATATTCATGGAGACGTTGACAGACATGGATGGGAAAACTGGCGCTGATGGTTGCTGGGCAAACGATTGGTCGCAAAAAGTACCAGGACAATTGTTTGGTGACATTAACACTTGCGGATGATAGATTTGCTGCTGCTGTTCTTGTTCAGGATGAACAACAGCGTGTTTGAGTGATAGCAGGACGTCTGCTACGTCCCCTGAAGACGGTTTCGTCTCTCGAAACGACATCGACGGGGGTGAATGAAAGGAGTTATCCGTTCTAAAAGTTGTTTAGTAAAGGACATTGGCATAAGCTAAATTTAAAAAAATTGAACTTACTTGTAATTGTTATTGTTAGTTGTGGCACATGGTGAAAATGGAAACAGCGTTGGTAATGGATCTAGATCCAGAGGCAAGGTAAAAGAACCCATATCCTCCGGCCAAGGTGATAGGTCGTCTCCTACAATAAATTTGAAAAAAATGCATGATAAATATGTAATCCACCACAACCATGGAAGAAGTACAATTGAGAATGATTTTGGAGGCATTCCTGAACTTTTTGATTTTGAATTTCATAGATTAAACTTTTGGGTTATAAATAACTAAATATTTATTCTCTTATTTGATAGAGCTTTAAAGAAGTAAAATATATAATTTTGAATACAAAAAATGAACGAAGATTTAGCCAAAACATTTTAGAACAAATACGACTGCATGATATGTTTTAAAAGGATTTCTAAAATAACTTTAATGGATAATTCTGGCCATCGGTTTGCGTCAAAACTCTCATAAATATAATTTTTCTTGCTCGCAATATTGTTTAGGGGAAAGAGATGAAGATTTAGCCAAAATAGTGTTAAACAAATAGAACTGCAAGCTGCAAGTTTTTAAGATTTCTAGAATAAGTTGTCTAATAATTCTGCTCATTGTTTTTCGCCAAAAACTCAGATAAATATTGTTTCTCTTATTCGCCATACTGTTTAGGAGAAAACGATGAAGATTTAGCCAAAATAGTGTAGAACAAGTAGAACTGCATGCTGCAAGTTTTTAAGATTTATAGAATAAGTTATTTAATAATTCTGCTTATTGGTTTTCTCCAAAAACTCACATAAATATAGTTTCTCTTGTTCGTAATATTGTTTAGGAAAAAAAGATGAAGATTTACCCAAAACACTGTAAAACAAATAAAACTTCATGTTGCAGAATGAGGAACATTCCATGCTTTACAGATTGCTAATTTATATTTTATTTTACATATAACAAAGTGTTAAAACTCCAAAAAAATTCTGCCTATTGTTTAGGGAAACTTATCAGATTTTTCATGTATTTCATATGTACAATCAGTGACAAACGCCATGCCTACATAGAACAAAAGCGACTTGGCATGCTTCAGAGTTTATCCTAAGGGAATTAAAATTCTGCACATACACAATGATAAAAAGTACCTGGAACACTTGCAGCACTATCTGCAACTCCTGCACCTACACCACCTCCTGCAGAAGAACAGTTCGATGATACCTGGACAGCACAGCCGTTGGCAGTTTGCACCGGTGCCGTTGCTATCGAGGGGGTCCAGTTACATTCGAGCTGGAGCCCGAACTGGGGGTTGTTCGGTACGTAGTTGCCCCCATCCATCCTTCTCCTCCTTCAGATCCTACCTTCCTTCGTCCTTTTCCAGGCTCCCGAACCTGTCGACCAATCCCGTGATACTCTCCTACACACAATCACACCCTGAAATCGTTTTACTTGCCCTCATTCATGACACTAATTATTTAATATTTGATAATATTGATTCATACGTACATTCCCCCCTAACAGGTTACTGGTTAATAATAAAACTGAGACAGTTTTTGATACTTTTTGAAAACCGTTTTTGTCGTTTTGTGTATTTAATAACTGGATTTCTACTACGTTAATATGCGGTCTACCTCTGGCTATTTTTGAAAGACAATACAAACGAAGTGAATGTTATGGTAATGTCATTGTTTTGATTAAAACGAATGAAGACCTTAAAAAAACAAAGACGGTAGACCGCATATCAAAACATATTCTTGTCGGTAGACCGCATATTAAAGTAGATCCTTGTCGATAGACCACGTATTAAATAATTAAATCACATTCTTGTCGGTAGATCGCATATTAAAACATATCCTTGTCGGTAAACCGCATATTAAAACAGATTCTTGTAGGTAGACCGCATATTAAAGTAGATCCTTGTCGATAGACCGCGTATTAAATAATTTAATCACATCCTTGTAGGTAGATCGCATATTAATATAGATCCTTGTCGGTAGACCGCTTATTAAAGCACATCCTTATCGGTCATTCACTCTATCCTTTTTTCTAGAAAACTGTATAAAGTTTCTAGCTGTTAACAATTTAAAAATTTGTAACGGTAAACTTTTAGAGAGGACAATTCAAGCATCCTGAAACGTCTCAACAACGAGTTTAGAATCGAAAGAAAATCGTTCTTTTAAGTCCTGATTTACTTTTAAACGAGAATTACAGTAAGAAAAGCTTCTAATACATAAAAGTCGTATGAAAATTCGTATAAAATCGAAGTTAAAAAAAATTGATTGACAAAACTGTTAGGCATTTGTCGTTATGTTATTGCCGAAATCGTCACGTTGCGTCGAAAATGTGAAGGTTTTCTTTAGAATTTAAGATTACATATTGATCAATAAAAATGTACTTACTCCAAAAACACGATTTGTTATTTCTGAAACCGCTAATACAAATGAAATTACGAATATAGGTAGCATCATTAGAACGTAGAAATATGATTTTAATTTTAATTTGCCTAACGTATATTCTTTTTCAAGCGACCTCAAGAAAGATGCACCCTTATTTGGTCGTCTATATATGTATATGCCGTTTTTTCCTAAACTATTTCACCGATTTTGATTATTTTTTGACTAATATGTTCATTATTTGTCAAGAAAGGTTTCAGTGTGAAGCACTTACACTATTTTTTATTATTGTTTATTTTTAATGAATACTATGCCTAACACCTCCACCATATTTTCTACAAGTGGATAGGACGATGAAAGTCAAAGAATAAGACGTTTTAAATTAACAAGAAAGTATATAAAAGGGCTCTGACATAACTAAACTTATTATCCAGGGGAGTTGATGATCTGCCCTTTTTTGTTTACCCACCAAAGTTTTAATTTTTGAATATCATCAAAAGCAATCAACACTTAACTGCTCTGAAAGTCCTAAGTTAATTAATGCAATACAAAGTCCTGTTTTATTGCTTAGTTTTTAATGTTCATGGCTAAGAATTCTCTTTAAAAACCTGTTAGAAACTAAACTAAATTGAAGCAAAAACTTCAAAAAATATGGAATTCGTTTACACTAGAAGGTTTAGTTTATAGTTGCAGTGCTATAAAAAATGATGCCCAGTGGTACACATTGAAATGGTTTTTTTTATTAATATATAAATTTTTTATTTATACGTTC